TTTTTTTTCTATGTTTACATTTTGTTGCCGCCGGTATTGTTTTCAATGGCTCTGAAAAATGTGTGTGTTTGCTGATTTGCAATTTTACTAACTTCCACTATCATTTTTTTTGATAAACAGCAAGTGTAGAGTCTGTAGACTGAATAACCTGAAATGTTTTTTTTGGCAGTGGACTTGAATAAGGTGCCACTGGGACAATGTTGGGACAATGTACCATCACTTCAACATGGTTGGAGCGCTACAAGGACCTCTACATCGCTGCGTCAGACCACAAGTACTTCCATCTCATTAAGACAGGAGTTGTCCGGAAAGAGGAGTTTGAAGTATGGCTGGTAGGTTGCGTAATGCACACTCCAAGCACCTGTTCCTTCTTTTTTTTTTTTTTTTTTTCCCTTTTTTTTTTTTTGAAAAAAAAGGTGAAGGAAAAAACTGTACGGCAATACAACTTCGAGCATGAGAATGAATGGAAGAGACAGATACTCCCATACATACATTCCATTATGCTCGCTCATAAAAAGAGTCAACGAAACACGAAACAAGTATCCAGGTAGCATTCAGAAGAGAAAAACACATCTTCCCAACTGGAAGAAACATCATTACTCTTCCCAAATTCCCACGCGGCCACTCCTCTACGCGTTTCAACTACCCTGCACATAGCATCATCAGGACGATTCAAATACTACCAAACACCCGAACGACTCAATGCAGGAGGCCATTCCATAATGCCTTGCCTCCTTATATACTATCTACCCTACTCCCACCCTGCCCTCATCCCTAGCGAAGTAGGCACATAGTAACCCATGCATCGCAAGTACCGTACATGATGCATGCACAATGGAACGATCCATGGCTGTCGAGAACCAATCAACCAGAAGAGGAACCCGGCGAAAGGACGAGCGTCGATGATGCACATCGTCCATCGATGCGAAAAACCTGCAAAACGAAACACCACAAAACCACAAACACCAAGGTGCCAGCAAGGAGACACAAGCAAAACACACGTCGTCTGGAAATCCGTACAGCTGTCAACTGTGCACAGCTCCAAGTTGGAACGTCCTCCTGTCGCGGATAGCCGAAGCTCGGGCAGGCAGATGATAAAGCAGCAGCGTCACCACCGCCGGCTGCACAAACCCAGCGGAGCGCCGCGATCTGAACCATCCCCTCCTTAGGATGGCAGAGAAACTTAAGAGTACCTCACAACCGCTCTGCTCATCGAAGCACCTACCAGCGCGAACTGACGGTGAGAGGGCCAGTGAGGCGATACACCGGCTAATATAAAGCTGTTTGAAGACAGCGAAAGGCACTTGGGGCCTTGGATGGATCCGTCGTTGGGGACCCCCCCCCCCCCCCCCGTGACCCTTGTTACTGTCCGATCTGAAAATCGAAGGATGTGTATGCAGAAAACGTGCTAGGTCCTGGTCCTGTCTCTTATACACATCTAGATGTGTATAAGAGACAGGTCCTGGTCCCTGAGCCCTGGTCCCTAAGCCTAAAAAGCACCTGAAAACCGTCGGTGGCCACCGCCCAACCAGCAGTACCTGGTTACGAAAATCCCGGGAATACAAAATTGAAAAATCACCCCACAGGGCTGTCCCAAGGAACAAGGGCCTGGCACGGTGGCACCCCCCCAAAAATATGTATACAAGCAATCAACCATCCAGTTGCCACTGTACTCTTTCTGAGTCGATGCAGGTTTGTACTATTGCCTCTTTCATTTCACGGGTGTGAAGTATGGAGTTACTGATCTTGAAGAAGCCTGCTCCTTTTTGTAATGTCGGGTCGAATATGAGATCTATGAAGATTGGGTTGTGAAAAAAAAAAAAAAAAAAAAAAAAAACATTCAGTTGCCAAGATGAGAGAAAAAGGCCCTAAAAAAAAAAAGGTGAGTTTGACAATGGAACCAAACCCCGCCGCGATGAAACAAAGATCCAATCGATTCGTGGGGAGCAGGACTTGTTCCTTTAACTGCCGTTAAATTGTGAATTCTCTCAAGTGATGAGTAGACTGCGAGATTGGCATGTGTGTGGTGTGCGTTCACTTGAGCGTGTGTACATGGAAGTCGTGAATGATGAGCATTGATTGTCAGTTTCATACCTGGTAGGTTGCGGTATGCAGCTGCTGCAAGGATAGAGGGGATGCGGCGGCATTATGTTTTGTTTTCGTTGCAAGCCTACCCTCACATAGCAAGCGAAAGTTCATGATGGGGCTCGTTTTCGAAGTCCAAACGGTCAGTAATAACAATAGTCAACCGCCATTTCCCACCCATTCCAAACGGTCAGTAATAGCAATAGTCAACCGCCATTTCCCACCCATTTTTTCTTCTACAACGCAGCAGTGCTCTGGACTCTGGAGGGCTCTACTGGACTGTTCACAAAGCACACATCCAGGCAAAGGCAAAAATGGGTCGTGGACGTCATGCGTTTTGACTGGATGCATGTTTTGTGAAGCGGCAGGCGGTACATCCGGCCGCCAAACGCGACACGAGCACTGCCGCGTCGTAGAAAAATGGCTGGGAACATACTGCCATGATACTGGTGGTGTAATAACTTAGTAATCATACGACAGACAATGGCATTTTTTGCAGAAAGATTTTTGGAAAGATGGCTGAAACATCATTATATTTACCTACTGCATTGCACTATCCAATGTGTATGTATGGCTGTCATGTTTTCTTGTCTTCTTTTTTCTTGCCGGCAGCGTGTTCTTGCAAAGAGGAGTTCGAGCTTCGGCTGGGAAGTTGTCCTGCAGATGCAAAAGAAAGAAAACAAAACACAAAAACAAAAATAAAAACAAAAACAAAAACAAAAAACAAAAATCTTATTTTACCTCTTTTTTTTTTCGTTTTTTCTTTTTTTTTGGATGAAAACCAGCTGGGGTTACTGTGAGGAGTGATACAAGCATCCATCTCTTCGTAACAGCCCTTTTGCTGGTTGTCCCAGTCTATTAGTGGGGGGGACCACTTGCTCGAAACTGGGTCCAGCGTCCCTTTGCAACACATGTGCTCCTTGTGATTCGCAGAGGATCATGCCCGTCCTGTTTTTCCTCGAGTCCCCTCGACCAGATGTAGTCGTTCCAGTTTTCCGCTTCCTCTCTCTCTCATATTAGCTCTACGTTTCACTCTGCCCTATTTGCTTCTGTTTCCTGTGTCCCGGCTGCCCGGGGCCCTGTTCCTACGGACGTTCGGTCTCATCAGTGCCCTTGCGGCTGATCCGCTGTTCCTCCGGATGTACTCTGTTATATATACTCCACCCTTAAACGAGGCTCTCTGTCTTGCTGGATTTGCTGCCTTCTGTTCACGAGTCGAGTCGAGTGTGCATTATTATCCTCTTGTTCCCGTTGCGTCTTGGCCCCCTGTTCCTGGGGCAACCATTTTGTTACCTGGCCCCTTTTCTGCGTGGTCTGACTTTGCGTTGCTGCAGTCTACTAACCGGGTCGAATGTTGACGTGACCGGGCCTGTGTTCCTATCCGTCTGTCACATTGCACACAAGCCTGGCTCCGTTCATTACGACACACCTTTCCTCATGTTGTGCTCCCATTCCTTTTCTTGGCTTGGTCCACCACACGCTGGCACGGAGAGATCCTGGTAGACACTTGGTCATAGCTTCTGTCTAGCTCCCTGGATTCCAATTCCCCGCAGGGGCATTTTGTTACCCCCCTCCCCCCGCCCCCCCCTCCCTTTCCTTGTCTTCTGGCATCGTGTTGCTTCGCGTCTGAATCCCACGGGCTCGTCAGCAGAGTTGCTCCGTCCAAGAAAATCACAGGGAAGTTGAGGAAACTCTTTTCTTTCGCAAACTCGTTTCGTAATACAATCTCACAAAGGTTCCGCTGTACCCCGACTCGTCAGTGCTTTGGTTCTGTTGATTTCAGGTTGGGGAAACTACGTCTGCAAACCGGGTTGATGGTCTTTTTTTTTTTATGTTTGATGTGGCTCGGCCTGAGTTCCACTCCATCTGTCCCTTTGCGCGCAGTCCTGGATCCTTTCTTGTACATCATTCCTCACTTCCCGTTCCCATAATTTTCTAATCTTTCCTTGGCTGTGCGCATGCTGATGTGGAGGGATCCTGGTAAACACCTGCTCTTAGCTTCTGATCTTCTCTTGTTCTGCAACTTCGTGGGTAGTTAGTGCGACCTATGGAGTAATAGGGTTCATGTGTGAGGGGAAGGGACTATTGGGTAGACGGGGGCGTTGCAGTGGGATCAGGTGAATTTGTTGGAGTTGGGGGGCGGGGGGCGGGGGGCCGGGGGGGCAGGGGCCGGGGTGCTGGGCAGGAGGTGGATGATGGGAGAAGTGTCCTCTGCGGATGCATTTGCCATTCTGGCTTGTCGGTTGTCCCCAGGGTGGGGTGTGAAAAAACATTGTGCCAGTCTGAGGTTCGATCTCTGCTCTTGCCGAGCCTTGTGCTTTCCGGCTCCGCCATTGGATCTGACAATTGTCCCCTACCGCGGACATTTTCCTTTGAGGGTCAATCCCGGTTTCTGTGAAATTCTTTATGATCTGTAATTTTTTTGTTGTTGGTCAGGGTTGCATACCCGCCGACCGCCTACCCCGACTGCCGACCGTACTGCAGCTGACCAGTAGGGCCGACCGGTCGGCAGTCTGCCGACCAGTCAGAAAACAGCCATCCACTTATTTTTTTTCAAATCTGAGTTGGGGGCTGTACTGCGCTTGCTGAGTACAGCCCAAATCCGCTGAGAAACTTTTGAGGATGAGGGGGTGTATGGGGGGTTTGGGGCAGGAGTATAGGGGGGGTATAGGGGGATATAGGGGTGGTATAGGGGGTATTGGCCCTATTGGGGGGGTATGAGGGTGTTGGGGGGCGGTTTGGGGGTGTTGGGGCGGTGTATGGGGGTATTGGGGGCGTTTATGTGGGTGTTGGTGGGGTTATTAGGGGTTCTAGAATCTGGACCAAAACAAAAACAAAAAAAAAAACTTTTTTTTGTTTTTTTTTTGTGCGGATTGCCAACGACCCCCGACCGGTAGGTGCTGACCAGCCAACCGGTCGGCTGGTTGGCATCCGACCGACCAGTCAAGGGCCGCTGACCGTCGGGGTATGCAACCTTGCTGCTGGTCAACTGTTGTTTCCATGGCTTCTGCCATCGCCTTCGCGGCCTTTACGATGTTAGATCTGATTGTTTCTGCTAATTCTGTTTTGGCCTGTATGAAGCCAAAGCTGTCTTCTTTTCGTTGTATGGCATACCTCATTCTCCAGATGGACATTAGAATACGCAGGCGTGTGCATTTGAATAGGTTTAGCTGGAAAAGGGTCCAGTGTGCGGGATAATTGGCCTGTTTCCCAAGTAGTATGAGCCTATGAGGCGGATGTTCTAGTG